CGAAGCATAAGTTGAGAGAAAAGTTGAAGTTATAATTACTTTGCTTTTTACAAAAGAGTTATATGGCAAGTAAAAAGTGAAACATTCATGTCAAAGAAGAGTTCCATGCTAAAAGAATATAAGCTAAATAATATACATACATTAGTGCTACCAAAGTCACATATTTGTCCAAGTTTAATTTTTTATATATTATAGAATTTCTTTTGAGGGTTTCTAACAAGAGATTGACTTGATGAACATATCTTACAATATAATTATCATATGAGAATTTATCAAAATAGTAAGAAATTTGGTATATATAGATTTCTACTCAAGTATCTCAATTTTTTTTAAAAAAAAAAATTACTATAGATTATCACAAAAATTTAATAAATATAAGATAGAAAACTAAAGTAGTTTAACAGAACCACCACAAGCTATTAAATTTGTCTATTTTCTCATTTATGTTGTAGTAACTTTTATACTACGATTTAAATAAATAAACTTTTTTTTTTTTAAGTCACAAATAAATTTGCTAGAATGCTTTAATAATCCACATTTATCCTAACTTTGATATCCGCAAATTAGGTGCTTAAATGAAATTTCATGAATATATTAGAAGAATATAAATATTATTATGCTTAAACAAAAAAATTTATAGAAATGTAAAAGAATTATTATATTTTTTTTTTTTGAAATATCTGAGGTGTGTGAAACAAACAAGTAGGCGATTAATAATTTATATAAGACGTCATATTAGAATTTTTAACTAATAAAAAATTTAAATAAATAATTACTATGTATATTTATATTCAATTTAAAAAAATAAATTTTATTTTTATATCTTAAAATTTTAATAGATAATTATTATAAATATTATCACTTCAATTTTATTTTATTTATTGTTATTTTAATTAAAGGAATATGAATGCAGTGACTGATTAATTTTTTTAATTAAAATAATAAAATTTTTTTCATTAAATTATGGTTAAATTACATAACAAGTAAAGATTTTTTGTATATCTACTAAATATAAAATTTTATATCAACATATATGTATATGTATTATAATTTCAATTTTATTTTAGAAATATTTTGAGGAAAATGAAGAAATATCATCTAACAATTTCCGATTTTCCTATTATGGATAAAATACTAAAAAAATAAAAAATAAAAAAAAAAGTCGGCCCAGATGATCATTCACAAACTGTGTCCAAATGTTATTCAGAAGGCCCAGCCCAGATTACATTTTCACCATTTTGTATATGTTAAAAATCTTCACCATTTTAATTTAGTTCACAAATATATATATTAAATTATTATATCAAAAAACAATAAGAATTAACTATAGTTATACCTCAAAAATTTAGTCATCCTATATAATTTACTCAATTTGTAACCATGCGTACTGCACTTGATTTTGCTAACAAAGGTTACAGTTTTTTTTTTTTTTAATAAAAAATAAAAAATATTAAGTAGCTCAAATTACAATTTAGGATCAAACCCTAACTTAATTACCAAGCTAATTGGTCACAACATTCGCTACTTAGCTAAAAGCTATATCTCTCTAAGTCACACTTCACTCTTTCTAAGTGCTTAATTACAGCTACTTCTCATTTAAAAAAGTGCTTACACACTGCTTATTTAAACAACTTAATTTCCACTTCCTTCTAATTTGCTACTAACTAATTAAAATCCACGGCGTTTTAACATTTAATCCCTATTTTAAGCATACACGCTGTTACCCTCATTTAACCGCCGTTATCCTTACAATTTCCAAACGCTGCACTGAGCCAACAAATGTCCTGCAAATTTCCGTCATATTCCCCGATCAATACTTTGATACACAGTTTATAATTTTAAAATTTTATTATATAATAAATATATATTTTACTTACTGCCATGGAAGGTCTCCTGCAAGTAGCCAATCTCCTTCTTTGTCCTGGTAAGTCAGTGTGTAACCTGCAACGCCATTAGTGTCGCAGCTTTGATCTGCAGATACAACAAAATGACGGTCATTACAGAACCAGTCAAGCTTTATTAATGAAGACAAAGAAAGTATAAAGCCGGCGAGCTTACATTTAGCAAACATGGCGATCAAAGAGTTTTTGAGAATCTGATAAGAATGATAAAGGCTCAGATCAATTTTTCTTGCTATTGCTGCTCCTTCCATCTTCACTTTCACAAACATTGGCTTTGATGAACCAACCCCATTTTCTGCAACACCCGCCATTAATGCCGTCCTTTGATTAGTGTTATTGTTATGAGTGATATTCATCCTGCCACCACCACGTTGTTCGTGCTGCAAGAACATATTCTTCCTCCACGACTTGATCGGCGGCCACCCCACAACTCCATTCTCCTCCTCGCCATTCCTGTTCCGATCAAAACCCAAGAGTTCTTCAGGTTTCACAAACTAAATCTGGAAAAGATCACTTAATTAGAGTGATTATTTTCTTACTTGTTAATGGCGGAGGAATGATTACTCTTCTTTTCTCCTCTTCGACGATCGTCATCCTCGTTTGACTCCCCTCCATTCCACACAAGCAAAGGCACTGTTTGGGACCCATCAAAATTAATTTTCCCAAACGCCTCGCCAAACCCACGCTTGTTCTTCACAAACTTCTCTCTACCCAAACACGGTCTTCCTTCACAACTCTCCAAACTCTCCATATTCTCCTTGTGGTCGAACCCGATAACGACGTCATTTAAATCAAACCCCCTTGAGAGATTCTGGGTGGGAAGAGCGAGGCCTAGTTGAAGCTCCATATCACATAATACTACAAGTACAAATACCTGCTATCGTTGTATGAAAAAAGTGATATATAATATATATAAAGCAGAGAGATCTTGTTTGGTTAATGAATCAAGAAAGTGAAAGAATTTATAGGAGGGGAGTGAAGGAAATTAAGGGTTTAAAAATTGACTCTTTTTGTCTGGTGGGAGAGAGCCAAGTGAACGACACAATTGAATTTTGGGTCGGGAAAAGTCCAAGCAGTGATGCAGACAGGTGATCAATTGGTGAGCCAAACGCGCCACAACCAGTTAGCCATGGGCTAAGATGTCCTCATACCCAGCTCTGGCACTTGTTCCTTTTGGAATATAATATAATTATTTGGTCAGTATTAGTGGGTATCTTTAGTTCATCAATATATATGTGTATATTAGATATAGAAGTGCGTAATACATGTTATATATATATATATATCTGTATATACTTGAGTTTGATCAAAGGTTAGTCCAGATGAGTTCACAGGTTCCAGACAAACCCAACATGTCGGCTAAGGAGCATCAAACATACCATGATACCATGAACTAGCTCATCCTTGAAACAGAAACCTCCACCAAAAACATTCCCATACGATCTTCTCTGATTACAATGATCAATACCCATACTAATCACTATTCACTTTCCCCTCCATTAAAATAATACCACGATTCTTCCTGTCACACTTCCAGCTCCAATAATGGCGGAGAGAGACGAAGCATCCCACCAAAATATTATGCGTTTGGTGTGTGTTTTTTGTAGCACAGACAGACAATGGTAGGGCTCTGTGTTCAGATAGTGAAGAAAGAAGGAAGAGTACCCACGTGAGTTCATGTGAGATCCGGCATGGGCGAAAAGACATGGTTAGCCCCAGTGGCGAGGTGGCCGGTCTGGCTGGCTCAACACGGATTCAAAACCAGCTCGCGGAATTGGATTTTATGATTAGTCCCATCAGTCCGGCCAGGATGGCGCTCGTGTGGTGGGAACCCAACGCAGCAATCATGTCGGTACACATAATTTACTGTCATAGCTGGCCAAAACTCATTGTACAAACTGCGGGGGGATCAGATCCGGGTGAGATTTTTGACACAATGTTGAGGTGATTGAGTTAAACAAGACGAAAAGGTGGTGAATAATTCAGTGGGATAAATTATCTAACAGGTGGTGGGCAAGCAATTATGGAGGAATCTTCACCATTAATGGCGAAACAGTCACATGGTTTTGAAGTTTCTTATCGTACTTGACTACTTGTTCAATTCAAAGGGTCAAAAATAATCAAGTACAGTCATGGCGTCGGTCTCTGCAACCCAACTTCTACTTGCTCGCCAGCCATTAATAAACCCAACACCAGAAGTTCCCCCACATGGCTACTAAAAATAGCCCCTAACTTGCTGTGTAAAACATATTCAAAATTAACTCACCCCCATGGCAGAAGCTAATTGAGTTATTAGGTTCGAGTCAGATACTGAATTTGACGAAGCAGAAGGATATTAGGACATGGCCTTGACATTTACTTCACCTTAACCGTGCGACAATAAAAAGGATTAATTAAAACAGGAGAGAGAGAGAGAGAGGAAGAAGAAGAAGAAAACTGAGAAGGACGAGATTAGAAGAGTGCAATATCGGGAGAGAGAAAGTCTAGGGTGAGAAGCCGAGAGAGAGAGTTCGGATTGAAGTATGAGATTAATGTTAAGCAAATTACTTGATTGATTTTTCTTGTAACAATAAATCACTTAAATGGTGTATGAATATTCTTTTCGAAGAGTCAACCATCACCGCAGAAGCCGAAGAAGGAAGATGAAGAGTCATCTTTAGTTCATCGAGCGAAGAGGAAACTGTTAAGCGGTTCAAAACGGTTCGGTGCCTTGCGTTTTGGAATTTTAAATACTCCCTCCAAGTTTCCGCGGATACTGCCACGTGGCCCAAATTATTTCCGGATGGGAAAAAGCGTGGCCACCGTTGTTAAATGTCCCAAAATTTTCCTTCGGTAAAATCCGGAGGGCACACGTGGGGGAGTTGGGAGGGTCACAATGGAGGACATTTCTCTATGTGATCAAAGCCTTAAGGGGTTTATAGTGGCCCTTCAACCGTGGGGCACTGCCCTTTAATTTTCCAGCCGCTTTAAATTCTTCCTTCAACTCTAACCAACACACACATGATCTTCATCTTTGATTATCCAAATGTGTCCAAAATATATAACAACAAAATTTCAACGTGTGAGACCCACTGTTTTTATGTTCTCTCAATTGGGTTTTCTATGTTTCTCCTTTTTTTTTTTTCCCCTTTTTAATTACTGTTTAATTCAAAGAATCATAAGATAAAAAGAGTTTTATGCATGCTATCTCATAATCCGATTCATTATCATCTTTTTCATCGTGCATAGATATGTTTTAACTTTTTATAACATGTCTCAAATAAGTCATTTCTCATGAATAATATGATATTATTATATATTGTGTTAAATTTTCTTAATATCATATATAAATTGATTTATGTACAATATTATAAATTATTAACAAGTTAAAACGTTTTTATAAATTATATTATTTAATAAAAATTTAAATTTTAATTTTTTGAATTAATTATAAATTTATTTATTACGATAAAAATAACATACTCTAATTTGGAGGCAGCACAAAATTTTTCCAAGAAATACGCTCGCGCCAAAACGGTGTGTTTTATTTAATCCCGACAGTCAAGAATCAGCTGTCACCTCTGATTATAAGATTACGGAAGTATTTCCAAACATCGTTGACCAAAAGTCTACCATCTCCAACTCGTTGGGTCAGCTCAAAATCATAAAATCCCAACTCGTTGAGTTGATCGGTCGGGTCGAGTTAATCCCTCATCCTTCCACCAGTTGGATCAAAACGCGTCAGCCCGATTATGAACTGTTTGGGCCCATTTAAATCACAAAAATATATATATATATACATATGCGTTATTTCCATTCAAAATTAAACTTTAGAAATGAACTAAATATTTACACTAGCTCAAATTAATTATAAAATTTAATTCTAACAAATTTTACTGAAAATTACAACATTTTTTTCTTTTTTTTTAATAAAAAAATTAAATCATGAAAACTATAACAGATTTTGTAATTTCATGTTCAATTTTAATTTTTTAAAATAAAATAATAAAATTTTTGCATATATCAAGTATTTATTTATATTATCATATTTCTTAAAAAATTGTAAATAGCTCAGGTTTAGATTCATTTAAAATGTATTTCTGTTATTTTGATTAATTTAATAATAAAATCATACTTGGAATAAATGAAATAGTGGGGAGCTCTATTTTTTTTTTTAATTATTTTGAGATGTTAAATAATTTGAGATGTAATTAAGAAAAAAATATTTCAAATTATTATCAAAATGTATATTTTTACAAGCTTATAAAAAATTACTTCCTTCAGCAAAAAGTGAAACGGCAGACGACTCATCTTTCTGAAAAGTGAAACGGCACGCAGTTTATTATAGGCAATTCGCCAATACCATGTTCGGTCGGGAACCGGTCTGAGTTCTGACTCACTCTGCCGAGTTACGAAGTTCAATTTCCTGAACCCTGGCACAGAAAGCTTTTGTTTCATATCGTTGAAACTCTCTAAAGTCTGAGAACAGAACAGACTCACAGAGATTTAGAGAGAGAGAGTCCCAGCGCAGTGATGTCTCTGTCGAGTTCGAATTTGTTCAAGGGTCCGGTACTGCCAGTATCGGATACCCCGAGGGACGAAGAGAAAGAGAGGCTCATTAAAGGAGACGAGAAGCTCTTTAGAGGATCTGCCATG